TTGATAAAATGCAATAATGTGTGATGCATGGTCCCATTATCAGATGGGTTTACAAGCAGTGCTGTGGAGTCGGAGGAAATTTTGGGTACCTGGAGTCGGAGTCGGAGTTTACAAATGGTTGTCCAACCATAATCAATATGTGATCCACAACGTCTATATCAACATGGAGGGATCAGATGCTCAACATCTTTATGAATGGCAGACAATGGGATATGAAGGTTGATCATCACCCAGCTTGAAAATCACAAAAAAGAGCGGGTTTGCTAACACTGCAGATGACAGGCACAAAGTGCAAGAGGGTTTTGATAGATATCACAGATTGTTTAATGGTAAGGAATGTAGAGTTTGGAATTCTGCATTTAGGTTGAGATCTTTCTCTGTAATATATAGGCTACAGATTAAGGATGAGCCAATAGTATGCTTCAGCTGCAAAAACAGTTAATGCATCAGTATAGATCAAAATCACAGGAAGTGACGGTTCCACTTTCTAGTGCACTGATCGGACTGACCTGGAATACTGTGTCAGGTTCTGGTTGTCCCAATACAAGAAGGATGCTGAGAAACTAAAAAAAAAAAAAACTCCAAAGAAAGGTAATGAGGAGAAGGTGAGGAGCTTGAACTAAATCCTATGAAATATAGTGAAGGGAACTAGGTATGTTTGGTCCAAAGCAAAGAAGGCTAAAGAGAAACATGATAGTAGTTAAATACTGAAACTGTGAGCGCTCCATCACTAGAAGTTTTCAGCAGAGGGGGGACAACAATTTGTCTGAAATAGTATGAGGATTTCTGCCCAGCCAAGAACACCTCCAAAATCCCTTCCAATTCTATGATTCTGTGGCTTGCTTGTCCTCTTTCCCACCCTTGGTCCCCCTTGGTTGCTGCTTCCTTTTCTTCCTTGTGGAGCACCAGCCTCCCAGTCAAGGCTCCGTTTCCCCAATGACTCAATTCAGAAAAGCTTGTGCCACCTCAGAAGTAGCACCTGCCACAAGCTGTGTGGCAATTCTGTAAAAGCTCAGTGCTGTTCAGCCTGAGAAGCCTCTGTGCCCTGTCTCTGCAGCCAAACCAACCGGGCCCCACTGCTGTTGATGAGTTGTTAAACTATACTCTCCATGGAGCAGTATTCTCAACTTTAGCAACTCTAAATTGTGTGGACTTCAACTCCCAGAATTCCCCAGCAAGCATGACCACTTGAACAGAAAACCTAGACTCGTAAATTTGAATCTAAGAAATAAGAATTCGATGGAAATCCATTTTTATAACTTGTCAAAGGCTTTTTCATTTTTATGAAGTCACTCGAGATGTTTCATAATTCTCTAAATACACTTGTCAAATTATCTAACAATAATCTAATATTAATAAGAAGTCAGTTTTCTCTCCATGAAACCAGACTGCAGGATAAATTATTGATGGTAATATCTTTGGAAATCTTTGTGCCAGATTGTAGTTAGAATTTATGCATCTACACATAATACAGATACCAGATGATAATGTGCACAATTTGTTGGGTCCTTTCCCATTACTGTACAACCATTAAATATGCTTCACAGTCATGGAGAAAATCTATGAGGTTGCTAAGAGTCAGCGCCAACTAAATGGTGTATAATCAATCAATCAATGTTTCACAGACTGATAAGGCAAGAGCCTTTTTTCAGAACGAACATTGTCTTACCTGAATGTTCCTTTTCGGAGTACTGCGACTGCAGTCCATAGCTGGGTTTCTTCATTATCAGTTCCTTTTGACTGGGTGAAATTTCAATTATATCTCTCTTCGTCCTGTGGCCACGCCCCTTCCTCCCATAATGCACCAGTCTTTGAACAAAGGCGCGACCACCTACAATAGTCCAAGAAAAAAACCAGCAGGAAAGGAAAACAAGAACAAGTCCAGACCTGCTCAGACACCAGTGATCCAATAATAGAATAGAGAAAAAACAAGGGAGGGGATGGACTGCAGTCGCAGTACTCCGAAAAGGAACATTCAGGTAAGACAATGTTCGTTTTCCAGAGTACTGCTCCTGCAGTCCATAGCTGGGATATACCCAAGCTCAGAAAAAACCAAGGGTGGGAAACTAAAGTTCCGCGGAGTCCTGCGTCACCAGAACACTCTGCAGGACCCTACGGCAAAAGGAAGCCTCAGCGGAGGCAAAGGAATCCACCCTGTAGTGTCTGATAAAAGGAGTCACCGAAGACCAGGTGGCAGCCCGGCAGATGTCGGAAACAGATGCTTGAGTGGCCCAAGCAGCCGATGTCGCCGCACTACGAGTAGAGTGAGGCAAAATCCCAGATGGAACCTGCCTAGCTTGGCGTTCATAAACTGTAGAGATGCACACCTTAATCCACCTGCCTACGGTCGATGGAGATATCTTTTGGCCCAAGGATCGTGGATGAAAAGATATCAAAAGGGCCTCCGTTCTCCAGAACGACTCAGTCCTGCGAATATAACGACGGAGGGCCCTGCGCACGTCAAGGGTGTGCCAATCCTTCTCACGTTGGTGTGCGGGCGACGGGCAGAAATCAGGAAGGATTAATTCCTGAGCACGGTGAAAATATGAGTTCACTTTCGGCAAAAAAGCCGGGTCCAGGCGAAGAACAACAGTATTAGCGTGGAAAATACACAAATCCTTCCTGATTGACAGAGCTGAAAGTTCGGATACCCTCCTGGCCGATGTGATCGCCAAGAGGAAGGCGACCTTATATGACAAATCCTTAAGAGAGATGGAGCCCAGCGGTTCGAAAGGGGGACACATAAGCGCTTGGAGCACAAGAGAAAGGTCCCAGGTCGGATATCGACGAACCGGAGGTGGACGTAAGTTCATAGCTCCATGCAAGAATTCTCTGAGTTGAGGATGGTGAGACAGAGACGAATAAGGCGGACAGCGAACTACAGTGGATAAAGCAGCAGTTTGTCTACGAAGAGTGGACGGCGACAGGCCCTTGTCCAGGCCGGATTGTAAGAAGCAGAGGATGTCAACGACCTGAGCTGACGTAGGGTCTACCAAGTTGTCAGCACACCAGGCGCAAAAGGCCCGCCACGAGGCCTCGTATATACGCGATGTAGAGGGCCTACGAGATGCCTGAATAGTGGTTATGACGGAATCGGGGAGATGGTCCTTGCGCAGGATGACCCGCTCAAACGCCAAACGACCAATTGGAGCCATCCTGGATCTGGGTGGTACACTGCTCCTTGGCGCAGAGAGCGACGGGTCGGTGGAATCTCCCATGGGGGAAGCATGGCCAGAGCCACCAGGTCGCCATACCACGGCCGACGAGGCCAATTTGGCACAACCAGCAGAAGTTCCGCACGTTCTTCCAACAACTTCCGAATTACCTGGGGGATCAAGGGAAAGGGAGGAAAGGCATACAACAGGCCGGGAGGCCAGCGGCACCATAGAGTGTTGTGATCTTCCGCCAACTGAGATGGGTAACGCGTCACAAATCTGGGAAGTTGTGCGTTCACCGGACTGGCGAACAGGTCCACAACCGGGAGGCTAAAGATGGAAATAGCCTCCTGGAAAATCTCTGGATCCAGCTGCCATTCTGACTGGTCTATCGTCTGCCTGCTGAGCCAATCTGCCCTGACGTTGTCCACGCCCGAGATGTGATCGGCCTTCAGAGACAGAACATGACCTTCGGCCCAAGCGAAGAGTTTCTCTGCTTCCAGCATCAGGTCCCTTGACCTCGTGCCCCCTTCTTTGTTTATATGGGCCTTTGCGGAGATATTGTCCGTGAGGACGAGGACATGTTGGCCCTGAAGCAGGGACTGAAAATGACAGAGGGCCAGGCGAATTGCCCTCAGCTCCAAGATGTTGATGCTTAACGTTTGCTCCGAAGGTGACCAGCGGCCCTGTACCATCTGATCATCGAGATGAGCTCCCCAGCCCAGGAGACTGGCATCCGAGGTCAGAGTCAGCCGGTCTGGAAGGAGGAACTGCGTGCCGAGACGGAGGTTGGGACCCATCCACCAGTTGAGGGACATGGAAATCTGAGGGGGAAGAGAGACTTTGTGGAGAGAGTCGCTGCGACCCGTGCGTTGAAAGGGCAGTAGGAACCACTGCAACTGCCTCGTGTGCCTGCGCGCCCATGATACTATCGAGAAGCACGAGACCATTTTCCCCAACAACTGGGACAGATGTAGTAGAGGAACAGTCCGTTTGGAGAGAATGAGCCGAATCAAGTTGCGAATGCTCTCTACCCTGTCCTGGGATAGGGAGACCTGGCCCTGAACAGAGTCGAGCACCGCCCCCAAGTGTTGGAGAACGGTGGACGGGTGTAGATGACTCTTCTGGAAATTTATCGAAAACCCGTGGTCCTGAAAGGACGCGATGACAAGAGCCAGGTCCCGAGGTGCTTGGCTTCTGGAAGATGACAGGACTAGAATGTCGTCCAGATAGCACATCACTCTCACAGGTAACATTCGAAGAGCGGCCGCCACCACCGCCACCAGTTTTGTGAAGGTCCTTGGTGCAGATGACAAGCCGAAGGGCATTGCACAGTATTGATAATGGTCCTCCCCAAGTTGGAAGCGCAAGTATTGGCGGTGGGCCGGGAGAACCGGAACATGCAGATATGCCTCCCTGAGATCGACAGACTGGAGGAGGTCGCCCCGTCGCACTCCAGCGAGAATGGATCCCAGGGAGTGCATCTTGAATCTGCGGTAGCGAACCGACAGATTCAGCTGCTTCAAATTTAAGATGGCTCTCCAACCCCCCGAATGTTTTGGGACCAAAAAGAGAGTCGAATAGAAGCCCTTGCCATGCTGATCCAGTGGAACAGGTTCTATTGCACGGATAAAGAGCAGGTGTAGAACTTCCTTCCGCAAAAGGGCCTCCTTGTCGGGGGACAAGTGGGACGGACAGCGGACATAGCGAACTGGAGGACGACCCAGAAACTCGATGGCTAGGCCTTGGGATACTGTCCGGAGAATCCAGGCGTCCTTGGTCGAGCGTTCCCATTGGTGACCGAAGAGTTGAAGGCGCCCACCAAAGGGATCCTGTAACAGGTAGTCATTTGCCTCGACGGGGCTGGCGGAAGCCCGCTCCACGGAAGGGGCATCTAGAGCTGCTGGCCCTGGACCTGTCTCGGAAACGCTGCCTGTCCAATGATCGGTCGGTCCCAGGAAAGAAAGTGCGCTGAGAATAGGGGCCCCCCGACCCCGACGATGCTCCAAAGGGCTGACGTTGAGAATAGGGTGCGTAACGTCGCTCTAGTCTGCGGTACGAAGATGTGGGCATCACCTTCCTTTTGTCCTTGTCTTCGACAAGGACGGGATCTAGGGCAGGGCCAAAAAGGTGCAGGGCTTTAAAGGGGGCCGCCGCCAACTTCCACTTTGCCTTGGCATCCGCTCTCCAATTTCTGAGCCAAAACAGTTTGCGAGAAGTCACAGACGAGGCCAAGGCCCTCGAGGCGAACTTCACCGAATTTAACGAGGCATCCGCCGAATATTCGGTGGCAGCTACAATTTTATTTATATCTTGGTGAAGACGTGTGTCTTCTGGCGGTAACCGCTCTTGAAGTTGTCTTAGCCAAAGCAACGTGGCTCTATTAAAGAACGATGTAGCAGTCGCCGTCTTAATTGTCCAGGCAAGGGATTGATGTTCCTTGCGAAAGGAAAGTTCAGTCTTTCTGTCCTCTGACTTAAGGACGTCCAAAGCTTCAGAAGACAAGAGCGAAGAAGAAGAGAGACTTGCAATCGGAGGGTCAACCACAGGTAAGGCTAACAAAGAGTCCAATTCTGGGGCCCCACAGTATAATTTCTTGTCCAGACTGGTGGGACCCATCAGAGAACCAGGTTGGGACCAGGGCGATTGAAGAACATCGGAAAAAAGTTGAGGACAGGGAATAAAATCCCTCCCGGGCTTGGATGACGAAAACAAGGCCTCATGAGGAGCTGAGGCTGCAGAAGGTTCGGCAGGCGGGGCTCCCATATTGGTGATCTGTCGAGCTTTATGCAGCAAAGACTTAAACAAAGAGGGCCGGAAAAGGCCGGAGAAAGCTGTAGTGTCCGGTGCAAGACCCTCGTCTTCAGAGAATTCTAATTCCTCCGGTGGCTCCTCCTCCTGTTCAGAGTCTTCAGACGAGATGTGAGCCAATCTAGATGGAGACTTGGAACGACCAGGAGCAGAGGGATGAGAAGTACAGTGCTGAACTGGAGTTGGTTGTTGTAGGACAGATTGGTGAAGTCCCGCAGCCAATATGGAGGAAAGAGCATTGGACGCCGCCTGGAGATCCACCTGTGGAGTCAGTAACTGCCCCTCTGGACCCCTCAGTCCCGCCGCGGTCGGGGTAAAGGTTGCCTCAGCTCGACGGGAGGATGTAGGATGGGGCTCTGCAAGGCCCACTGAAGAAACATCAGGCAAGGACAATGAGGTCCTCTTAGTGAGGCCACGAGAAGGGCCAGCCAGAGCCTGAGACGTAGAGGCATCACGATCCTCTCCGAGCCCTGGAACAGCATCTGATGTCAAGGCAAGGTGACCCTGTGGGGATAACTGCTGGCCAGTAGCGAAGACAGAAGCTGAAGTGGCCAGTCTGGCCCTATCATATTGTTTTTCAAGCGCTCTATGTCGGCGCTGGGCGTCCTTCTCCGCCGCTGATGAAGGTCTATGCTGGAGAGACTCAGAGGAAACAGCAGTAGACCTGCCTCGAGACTTTGACTTGTGCTTGGACGGGGCCTTAGGTGGACTTGGCTCCTGCTCTGAGTCCGAGGACAAGTAGGCATCCGCCATTTTAAGAAGGTAAGAACTATATATATATATATACAGATTTTCTTTCTTTCTTTCTTTCTTTTTTTTTAGAAGGTAATAACTATATACAGGAGGCGCCCGTAGCCTTGACTGACAGGGTTCCGAAGTTAGTCAGCCAAAAGGCGCAGGAAAAAAGTCCCCAAAGACAGAGAAATAACGTGGCGCAGTAAAAGTAAAGGCCAGCCTCTGGTCCCAGTCCACAGGGGCAGCAATGAGGCTAAGACTGGGCAAATCAGCGTCCAGAAGTAAATAAACGTGCTCGAGAGAACAAGCAAGGTGTGGCTGTCAAGGGAAGGAGGAGACGGGCCGGGAATTCGGCAGAAAATGGCCGCCGGAACAACGACAGCCCCAAAATGGCGCCCGCAAGGTTCGGGACAGCGTGGCCAATTGCGGTTAGCTCAGGGCGTGCTCGGACACACAGTAATGGCGCCACAAGAAAACACACCTCAGTCCCGGCTATATAGATCAAAAAAGGCGCCGCCCGAAGGACGGGCGCCTCACTCCCTCACCACCTGCAGCGGGACACAGCGCGAAGCTCTGGAGTCCGACGACCAAAGGTTCTCCTCAGCGCTGGAAGCTCGGCATGAAAGGGGAGACCCGGCTACGCTAATTCCCCTCCGCAGCAACAAACGGGTGCTGAATACACATCAGAGCCTGCAGGGCAAACCGTGCAAGGCTCCGGAGCCGCTTCTACGAGAGCCGAAATCAAGGCGAAAAACACAAATTGAAAGGGTGGAATGGGGGGGTGATAACGGAGCTCCGTGACACCCACACTCACACCAGCGGCTATAATAAGAAGGAGGGAACAGCCCTGAAGGGTCGGAAAGCCCCAGCTGCGGTCCGACGGCCGTCGGAGGCCCCGCGGGAGAGCGGACTGGAGCCCCAGCTCCGATTCTTACTCCCTGCAGCTGCTGATATAGGCTCTCACCGATAAGGAAAAAAACTACACAAAAATAAATAAAAGCCTAACGCCAAAAACCTAATTTAGACAAAGTTAAACACGAAGAGAGAAAAACACACCAGTCTTTAGTGACTGAGTGAAAAGACTGGTGCATTATGGGAGGAAGGGGCGTGGCCACAGGACGAAGAGAGATATAATTGAAATTTCACCCAGTCAAAAGGAACTGATAATGAAGAAACCCAGCTATGGACTGCAGGAGCAGTACTCTGGAAAATACTTATCCTATATCTCTAAATAGTATAGTATAGTAAGAGTTAAGACCTCCTGTGTTTTTTTCTCCCAGTATTCTATGGCCCAGGGAGCCTCCTGGATGCTATGGATTTAATTATATCAAATGGTTCCCTCAGCATTAGAAGCACAGTTAAATGCTTTGAATGAAGAGGAGAAATCTTTGCTTCTTTTCAAAAATTATTCAGCTGCTCTATACCCTGTTTCCCCCAAAATAAGACATCCCCTGATAATAAGCCCAATCGAGCTTTTGAGTGCATGGCAATAATGCCAAGTGCTTATTTCAGGCTTCAAAAAATATAAGACAGGGTTTTATTTTGGGGGAAACACGGTAGATATTGCCACACTTGTAGTATACAAATATACATTACACCATTTTAATTGTTTCAATTGAGAACCCAATGATTAACCTGTTTTCCCTATTGTCTTCAATTTGTCTGCATAATTCTTATTTATATGTATTTTGTGTATTTAATCAATTCATATAACTGCCCATTTCACATGTGACTCTGGTTTAAAATAATAAAAATATATTCAAAAATATAAAACCAATAGCAGCCAAAAAAAATCAGAAAGCCAACTTAAACATTCAACATAACCAATCAAAAGGTTTGAACACAGAGTGACATATTTGGAGCCTAAAAATAGGCGAATAGGGCCAATCATTCCAAAAGGCGGGTATTGCAACACAAAAGGCTCTCCCTCTTAATTACTATATTAATATATTTTCCAAGTAATCCTATTTGTTGATCACCTATTTAAAAAAATATTGTTTTGCTGTTGATCAATAAACTTAGAATCCTCTTAAGAATTATTAAAATACCTCTTAACATGAATTTAATCTTTCCTATAAAACTCCCAACCAGGATATAACTGGCTCTTGTAATGACGGTAGAAAATATATATATATATATATATAGGGTTGATTCACAGAATCATTTTTAATAGAATTACTAGGAGATTGAGATATTTAAAATTATACAAATGAGAACATATATAGTGCAAGTTATGAAAGGAATGTATATCCTTGTTAAATTTCTGAAGAATATGTGGATAATTTCATTCTTTGTAAATGATTTTTTTTGGGGAGGGGGCAAAATTGTATTTTGATCAACTGATGGTTCCAAAACAACATTAAAATATATAGGCGCTATTAGTGGTTTATTGGTAAATTAAAAATATTTTCATAAAAAAAGGAACAATGGGTGTATAAAAAGAATACGCTTCTGCTCAGTGGTGAAATCCAAATGTTTTTACTACCGGTTCGTGGGCATGGCTTGGTGGGCGTGGCAGGGGAAGGATATTGCAAAATCCCCATTCCCTCCTCACTCCTGGGGGAAGGATATTGCAAAATCTCCATTCCCACCCCACTCCTGGGGGATATTGCAAAATCTCCATTCCCACCCCACTCTGGGGCCAACCAGAGGTGGTATTTGCTGGTTCTCTGAACTACTCAAGAACCTGTCAGAACCTGCTGGATTTCACCCCTGCTTCTGCTCATTTTATTTATGTGTATGGGAACTGGGTTGGTCAGGAGACAGAGGAAATAAGTTTTCCTCTATCAAAACATGACAAGAAGATACAGCATCAAGAATAAATAGGTGTCAAATGAATGTGGCTTAAATAAAAAAGGAGTAATCAGGACAAAGTAAGCATATCCAGGAAGGGAAACATTGAAGAGACTGATTTGATGGAGTTTAAAAAGGTAAAAGGTAAAGGTTCCTCCTCGCACATATGAGCTAGTCGTTCCCAACTTTAAGGGGTGGTGCTCATCTCCTTTTCAAAGCCGAAGAGCCAGCGCTGTCCGAAGACGTCCCTGTGGTCATGTGGCTGGCATGACTCAATGCCGAAGGCGCATGGAATGCTGTTACCTTCCCACCAAAGGTGGTCCCTATTTTTCTACTTGCATTTTTAACGTGCTTTCAAACTGCTAGGTTGGCAGAAGCTGGGACAAGTAAGGGGAGCTCACCCTGTTATGCGGCACTAGGGATTCGAACCACCGAACTGCTGACCTTTCGATCAACAAGTTCAGCGTCATAGCCACTGAGCCACTGCATCCCTTTTGATGGAGTTTATTACATGCTAAAAAAGAAGGAAGTAGGAAATGTAAAAAATCAGAGACAATGTATTAGTATGATGGAAATTATCCGATAGTTTACTAGAAAGGTATGAAGAGTTACGGTGAATGAGTTAGTGTAAATGAGATTTAAGTGTTTTTCCTTTTTAAAAATGTGTGCCTCTTTTTCTTAGCTCACTTTTTCTCACTGATGTTTAACCTGTAATGGTCAAGTACGATGGGTTTGAAAGGATGCAAATGAATGTTCCAATAATGTGGTAGGAATGACTGAAACATTGTATTCTCAAAAGTGAGCTATCTTTCCCAAAGAGATTTTCATCATAGAGAATGTAATGTAATTTTTAAAAATTTCTTCCTTTCTCTCTCAATAATAAAGATGGTGCGGTGGCTCAGCGGTTAAGACACTGGATTTGTTGGCTAGAAAGCTGGCAGCCCAGGTTTGAAACCCGGGCTCCATGTGACAGGGTGAGCTCCCGTTCTGGCCCCAACTCCTGCCAATCTAGTAGTTTGAAACCATATTCAAATGAAAGTAGATAGATACCACTTCAGTGGGAAGCTAACAGAGCTCCATGACCTTACGCAGGCCACATGACCATGGATATGTCTTCGGACAACTGTTGGCTCAATGGCCTTGAAACAGAGATCAGAACTGTCCCCTATAGTTGCCAATGACTAACAAAGTAAAATCCGCAGGGGGACTTTCCTCTCAAGAATAGGTAGTCCATTGTAACTGGACTACAGCAAAACCCATGGCCTGTATCTTGTGCAACCCCTGATCTTTTAATGGACACTAGATCTTTGCTGAACTTTGACAGCATGTTACTAATATCAATGGCAAACATTCCTAACTTTTCCATGAAAATACAACTGAAGTAAAGTGTATAACACCTATGGATAGGCTTAGTGTACTTTTTTTTTTTTTTTAATTGATTTATATGCCGCCCTTCTCCAGAGACTCAGGGTGGCTTACAATGTGCTCAGCAATAGTCTTCATCCTTTTTTGTATATTTATACAAAGTCAGTTTATTGCCCCCACAACTGGATCCTCAATTTACCTACCTTAGAAAGGATGGAAGGCTGAGTCAACCTTGAGCCTGGCGAGATTCGAACCTGCAGTAATTGCAGGCAGCTGGTCTTAATAACAGCGTGCTTTAGACCACTGTACTACCAAGGCTCTTAAAGGAAGGGGCAAGAAGAACTAAATAATTTTTAAAAATCTCAGAAAGTTAAGTTTGTCCATTTGTGTGCTGTTGCTTGGCACTCATTGAATAGTGTCTGAATGCATACTGACTCTGGCTAGACACATCAACATTACAAGAAAAATATTCTTTGGACTATCATAGTAGCTATAGGTAATCTTTCCTATTCTTCTTTCTTCATTTGCATATAGATAAAAAAGGATATATTATGATCAACTTTCCTTCACTTTAAGGAAAATATAATTGCAAAGATGTCCTAATTTTATAAATCTCCCAATCAATCCCTAAAATTTAACTTTAAAAATACTCATGTATGTAGACTGTTTACTTGCTTAATCTAAAATAATAGACTTACTATATTTTTCAGATTATAAAACGCTCCAGACTATAAAATGCACCTAGTTTTTGGGGAGGAAAACAAGAAAAAAAAAATCTGCCTCTGCCTCCCAGCATCCATCTGATATTCATCTGGCCCATTTGCTGCAGCAAATTTTGGGGGATTCTGGGAGTTGAAGTC